CTACCGCTAGAGCTTTCAAACAGAAAAGCATCCCAGACTCCACAAGTTGCCCGCCTCCCCACGGGCTGAACCCATACGACAGCTCCAGTTGCTGAAGAGATGGGCAGTCTTGGAGGCATTGCACGAGAAATTCGATATCATTGCCAATGTCCTCGATATAAAGCTTCTGCAGGTCGCAGGAGGACCGTGACAAGAGGCTTCCAAAAGCTCTCAACGTGTCACTAGCCCGAAGTTCGCTTTGGTGTACTCTTTCCCCGAGATGAACACTGCGAAGTGCAGGGAGGATGAAATGATCAAGAAATGCCGCAACATTGTATCCCGGAGAGGCAAACAATGGCCCTGCGACAGCGAGGCTGTGTAGATATTTTAGAGTACTGTGGTGATTTGTGGGAGAGGATGTTGTCGTGGTAGAAGTATTGTCCACTTTGGGCAATACCAGGTTACATTCCTGCAAATTGAGGCATTGCTCAATGATTGCAATGAGAGCGGCCATGGATATTGATAAAGCCGCAGATCTGTTGCATTGCAAGCACAAGGTGGTGATTTTGAACCACGGGCAAGGAGGGACTGAAAGTGTGCCGTTGTTAGTGCACAAGGAGATTCTGCGTAATCGAGGGGGCATCGGCATGAATTCCACCAGGGCACTGCGGGGAATATCAAAGGTGTTGTTGGTGTGGGTAATTTCGACAGTCTCGAGCAAAGGGAGGTCCCTAGGCATAAGGGAGCGGAGCTTCGATGAATGTTCATGTGGGATCGAGAACAATTTGAGCTCTTTCCATCGATGATGGTATGAAAGGAGTATATCGATAAAGTGTTCCGTATATTCGACGGAGTAGTCACCGGGAAATGCAAGTGATATTGACACGGGACAACTTCCGGAGCGTTGAAGCCATATCTGTAGTGCCTTGCAGTGGCACACCGCATCTGAAGAATACTCCCTCTCGGGGACGCTGATGTGAACAGATGCCCAAAGTGACGCGGTAGCCAATGCGATCGACCTCCACATTCTGCATACACGGCCCAAAAGAAGGGGGGCTTCAGATACGTGCATGACGGCACCGTGGTTTACAGGTAGACACGCCAGGAATATTTCCTGCAGTATCTCGGGGGGGATCGCGCGCATGGGGGATATGAGAGCCTCGAAGGGGCCAAAAGTAGTCCAGGCGGAAGACAGCTTCTCATGCAAGTGATTGGCAGTGGAGTGGACCATATCGAGTTCCCATAGAATACGAGATGCTAGCTGCCGTCCTTGCTGGCAGAGTTCAAGGAGTTCCCGTCGTTCAGATTCCGCGGGCAGGTAGTTCGTCTCGAGGCGATCTTGAAATCGGCCACACAAAGACGTGTCTGGGGCAGGAGCAGGGAATGCACTCATCCCTTCGAGAAGGGCCGAGAGTGCCGACCGCGGATCCACTCCCTCATTCTCATAAATCTTTAGTGTAGCGTAGACCTGCGAGGGAATATTATCGGTCAGGATCCGAGCAAGATCCAAGTTCAAGCCAGACGCACATATTCCCAGCTATTAATCGACTCCGAGTCGGGCATTCTAATCCTGCACGAGCCTCAGAATCCGGTTCGAAGAACGAACTGGTTGTATACCTCTCCACTTCGAGCTGATATGCCTCCATTGCGGACAAGAAAGTCGAGAGCTATAGAAGATCTCGGAGGACGGCTGGCAAGGAGTACACGTCGAGCGACTCGGACAGAAAATAAGCGCGCTAATAATCCGTTAGCTACTTGTTGAAGGAGGGCCGACACAAGATTACTTGGCGAAACGACGGGTTATATGAGTTATTCGAGCCTCCAGCGAGCCAGTGCAAGAAATTCTGAATAGGCGGCAAATAGGGCTCGTTACTGATGGCGGTTGTCAATGACAATAGCAATTTCGATACCGGCGGAGTTTTAAATTTGCGCACGTGGTCGGCCCGGTGCCCCCTTTACCTCGCTCTATTCTAAGACATTCTTCGACACAGTCGCGTCGGCTTTCTGGACTGACACAATCTCTGCCAGCTCTTCTGGAAACAGCTTTTCTACTATCTGGGGTTCTGGGGCTGTTTTCTTCCATTTCTTCCTGCTTCTCTCCTGTAAAACCTCTCCAAATTTGGATCTCGCTTGGACGGCACGGTGGTATCTTTAGACGCGTCGGGCGATCTCTCTCGCGGTGTGTGCCGAGAATTGAACTCCGAAGACTGGAATCGACGCGTTGTTAGACTCTTTGTGAGTCCCTCATCAGTTCTCCCATTTTATTACGCTGACTTGCGGTTTGTTGTCGTAGCTGCGAGCATCAAAAGACCCGAGCGTGTAGGCTGCAAAAATATTGCTGAACATTCAACTCTTGCATCATCACTTTTGCTATGGCTGAATCCCCGGCTGAGAGTGCAGTTTCCGGTGCAGTGGTGTCTCTGCCGTACTTGTGGAAAGAAGAACTGCACATGAAAAGCAGATACGCTCCGAGCGCTACTGAGCCTTGTATTCTACAATTTGAGCTTGCCTAGACTCATTTGATTTCTGCGAGGAAAGAAAATTAAACCACCGACACCACACCTGATTCAACCAACAATTTATTATTATTTTTACCAGCCTGCAAGTTGAATTCTGGATTCAGAACGAGACGGAGGGAGGGCAGCTCTGTGGTGTAGTTACCTCCTTTTGACTTTGGCTTTGGATTATAGCATTGCTTGAATTATTATTTGACGAAATAAAAAACGCCACAGGGAAACACATGGCTCAGGCACGAGTCGAGCGGGCAGGTGTCTGCCTTTTAAGCATAAGCTGCAACTAAATGAGAAGTAGATGCGCTCCGAGCGCTACCGAGCCTTATCTCCTCTTTTCTGACCTTGGCTAGGATTGGTTGAATTTCAGACTCAAGTGAAATACAAAAAAAAGAGTAGTTGGAAAAGTATAGCTTAGGCCCGAGTCGAACGGGTTAATTTCTGCTTTACACACATGTCTCAGTAGAGCTTCATGAGAAGCAGATGCGCTCCGCGCGCTACTGAGTCCTGCTTCCATCCTTTTGACCTTGGCTAGGATTAGTCGAATTTCAGACTCGAGTGAAATAAAAATCCGAACAAACATGGCTCAGGCCCGAGTCGAACGGGCAGATTTCTGCTTTAATCCTACTGTAGAAAAACACATGCATGGAATGTAGATTCGCACCGCGCGCTACCGAGCCTTGCATCCATCCTTTTGACCCTGGCTAGGATTGGTTGAATTTCAGACTCAAGTGAAATAAAAATACATATAACAAATGTATGGCTCAGGCCCGAGTCGAACGGGCAGATTTCTACTTTAATCCTACGGTTGAAAAACATATGAATGGAATGTAGATGCGCTCCGAGCGCTACCGAGCCTTGCATCCATCCTTTTGACCCTGGATAGGGTTGGTTGGATTTCAGACTCAAGTGAAATAAAAAATGCGAAGGGAAAACGTATGGCTCAGGCCCGAGTCGAACGGGCAGGTTTCTACTTTAATCCTACGGTTGAAAAACATATGAATGGAATGTAGATGCGCACCGCGCGCTACCGAGCCTTGTATCCTCTCTTTTGACCCTGGCTAGGGTTGGTTGAATTTCAGACTCAAGTGAAATAAAAAGTGCGAAGGGAAAGACACATGGTTCAGGCCCGAGTCGAACGGGCAGATTTCTGCTTTAATCCTACAGTTGAAAAACACATGAATGGAATGTAGATGCGCACCGCGCGCTACCGAGCCTTGTATCCTCTCTTTTGACCTTGGGTAGAATGGGCTGAATTATTATCGCATGCAAGTTGACTGAACAAAAAGAGTAGTAATAGGATGAATGCAAGGAGCTAGTATGGCTCAGGCCCGAGTCGAACGGGTGTCTCTGCTGTACTTATTGTACAGCCTTGCAAATGGAATGCAGGTGCGCACCATGCGCTACTGAGCCTTGTATTCTACAATTTGAGCTTGCATAGAGTCGTTTGATTTTCCCCGGGAGCAAAGAAAATTCAACCACCGACAGACACCACACCTGATTCTACCAGCAATTTTATTATTTCTACCAGCCTGCCAGTTGTATCCCTCCTTTTGACTTTGGATAGAATTGTTATTTGACGAAATAAAAAATGACGTGGAAACGCATGGCTCAGGCTCGAGTCGAACGGGCGGGTGTCTGCTTTACTCAGGGAAAGAGATGCAACATGGGATGCAGATGCGCGGTACCGCACGCCACTGGGCCTTGCTTCCATCCTTTTGACCTTGGCTACGATTAGTTGAATTTCAGACTCAAGTGAAATAAAAAAGTGCGAAGGGAACCACTCATGGCTCAGGCCCGAGTCGAACGGGCAGATTTCTACTTTAATCCTACGGTAGAAAAACACATGCATGGAATGTAGATGCGCACCGCGCGCTACCGAGCCTTGCATCCATCCTTTTGACCTTGGCTAGGATTGGTTGAATTTCCGACTCAAGTGAAATAAAAAATACAGACAACAAATATATGGCTCAGGCCCGAGTCGAACGGGCAGATTTCTGCTTTAATCCTGCGGTTGAGAAACACATGCATGGAATGTAGATGCACACCGCGCGCTACCGAGCCTTGCTTCCTCTCCTTTGACCTTGGGTAGAATGGGCTGAATTATTTATCACATGCAAGTTGACCGAACAAAAAGAGTAGGATGAATCCAAGGAGCGTATGGCTCAGGCCCGAGTCGAACGGGCGGGTGTCTGCTGTACGTATCGCACGCCTTCCTATGGAATGCAGATGCGCACCGCGCGCTACTGAGCCTTGTATTCTATAATTTGAGCTTGCCTAGACTCGTTTGATTTTCCCCGGAGGAAAGATAATTCAACCACCCACACCACACCAACAATTTATTCTTTTTGCCCAGCCTGCAAGTTGAATTCTGGATTCAGACCGAGACGGAGAGAGGGTGGCTCTGTGGTGTATTTATGTAGCGCCACTGAACACAAATTGTATCCCTCCTTTTGACTTTGGATAGAATTATTATTTGACGAAATAAAAAATGACACTTCGGAAAATGCATGGCTCAGGCCCGAGTCGAACGGGCGGGTGTCTGCTTTACTCAGGGAAAAAGATGCAACGTGGGATGCAGATGCGCGGTACCGCACGCCACTGAGCCTTGCTTCCATCTTTTTGACCTTGGCTAGGATTGGGTGAATTTCAGTCTCAAGTGAAATAAAAAATTCGCGAAGAAAAGAACATGGCTCAGGCCCGAGTCGAACAGGCGGACTTCTGCTGTACTCCAATCGCATACATGGAATGTAGATGCGCACCGCGCGCTACCGAGCCTTGTAGCCTCTTTTTTTTGACCTTGGATAGGATTGCATTCGTTTTCCCGTGATTGCGCAAGCACAAATTCAACCACGGACCGCGCATGAAGACATTTTTGGTGACATCAGTCAAATTGTTGGATTGTATGTAGCCTACTACAGGCTTAGGTAAAAGAAATGTACAGTGTGGGTGGGCTGGGAGCGGGGGGAGTGGCCATGGCATTCAATTTTTAAAAAATAATAATAATAAAAATAATCAGCAAACAAACCAGGCGAATGACTCAGGCCCGAGTCGAACGGGCTAATTTCTGGTTTACGCACACAGCTTAGCAGACTATGAGAAGCAGATGCGCACCGCGCGCCACTGAGCCGTGCAGTGTATAAATTGGGGTTTGGATAGGGGTGCCAGTAAATTTGAAGGATAATTTATTTCTCCGCTAGACCAAGGGAGGTGATAGCCATTTCGAACTTCATTCCTTCTTTTCATTAGTTGTCCTGCATTAGCGTTCAATTATTTACTTTCTTAGCTGAATGTGGCTTCGAATGTGGCGCGTCCGTCGTCGTGCAGCAACGGGTCTTGGCTGGTTCGGGGGTGATTATAATTAATATTGAGATTCAGTAGTGGCGGACTCGGACGGCGGTCTCACTTTAAACAACACAGCACCACAAACATATCCACCTGCGCCACATACTCCGAGTGTCCATTCTAGGATCCGCGCCTAGCGATGTCGGACGCTAGTGGCAGATTGACGCTTCCAGATGGACTGTCCCGTCACTGCGTGTGAAGGGCTCAGAATAGCCCAGTGTTGGAGAACGTACAGGTATAACATAACACAGGTATCATGACTCTGGGCACCCAAAGACCGGGGCTGGATGTATGTACGGCAGGCAAGCTGTTGATCGTGGTGGCGGCGGGCGGTGGGGGTCTCCGCCGATTTCCTGTATGAGTGGAGGTAGAGCCTCAGAGAAAAATAATCTGAGACGCTCCAAAAAACTGCGTCGTGTGTCGTGGTGGGTGGGAGGGTTACGCCACGGGGTGGCACGGGATGCGGTTGGGGCGCTCTAACGGCCGAAGCGACTTCCAGCATCGAATTCGGTGAATAGAAAGGTGACTGGGCATGTGACGGCAGAGGGTCTGGTGACTCCTCTCATGCTCTGTCGGGCAACTTGCTAGATCCAAAACCCGCACTACATACATTCCTTCTTCTCACTAGACGACATAGACTTGCTACTTAGACTTGCCCGAAGAGATGGACCAGGACCAGCAACGGCGCAACAGAGCGAACGAGCACACCCACGCCACCACCCACCGCGCGGCGTCGCAGCCCCCGAACCAAGCTGGCGGCGCAATGGGCTCGTCCGCCACCCCCACTAGCACCACCCCAACTAACACAACCAGTAATGCCAATCCCAGCAGTCCGTGGGGTGGCCTCCTCCCTTCGCGCTCCTCCTCCTTCTCCACCGCGCAGCGAGGCTCGTCTGGCGCGCCCTTTGAGGACGACGAGCTTGCAGCGGGGCTCTACGACGAGGTCTACGGCGGCGAGTACCAGCAAGGGTACCGTGGGCGCCCGTCATACACAGATCTGTACGCGCGGAGCCGCAGCCAGAGCCTCGCGACTACCGCACCCGTCGGCACGGGCCGCTCGCTCTCTTCATCCAGCTTTGGCTCGGGCTCGCCTGGGGCAGGCGGGTCGCCGCTCGCGACGCACGGGCCGTATGGTTTTGGCAACGGGGGCAACGGGAACGGCGGGAATGGGAATGGTAACGGTAACGGCGGCGGCGGCGCGTTCAGCATCCCGGGCACGTCCTCGCGGTACGGCAGCCTCGGCGCGGGCGTCGGCATGCATTCCCTGCACAATGCGCCGTTCGGGAACAATACGACGCTCGGCGTGGAGGGACGCATGGGCATCGGCATCGGTGCGGCGCGCAATGCGCGCAACGAGCCGCCGAGCAACCAGAGCCCGTTCGTGAGGGACGTGGGGCAGATATTGCTCGATGATGGGAGCTTTCGGGAGCTGTGGGAGAGGGATAGGGATAGGGAAAGGGAGAGGAGGGAGCTGGCGGGGGGGTCGTATCGGGGGGGCCGCGAGTACGGCGGGCGGGATTACGCGGCGGGAGGGAGGGAGTATGGGAGGGAGTATTCGGGCGGGGGGAGGGAGTATGGGCGCGAGTATTCTGGCGCGGGGGGGCGCGAGTACGGTGGGGCTGGGCGGGAGTATGGGCGGGAGTACGCAGGCGGGCCTTACTCGCTCTCGCGGGAATACTCCTCCGGTGCCGGTGTAGGCGGGTACGACGTGGGCGGCGGCGGGAGCGGGAGCACGTCACGCAGGCACAGCGTCAGCGTCGTGCAGCCCAGGCGCATGACCGCGGGGTTCGATACGGGCTCTGGGTCGTCGTTCCATGACAACACCTCTTTTAACGACTCTGGTGCGGCGTTCAACGACGGTGAGTTCGCGTTCTCGTTCCTGATGGTGTATTTAACGATGCGACACGCACAGGCGCGTTCAACGACTCGGACACCAACGCGCCTTCCATTCCCAACAGTAATAGCCGGAGCCTGCTGCTGAGCGACGAGGATCTGGGCTTGGGCCTGGGGCTGGCAGGGCTGAGCTTGAGTCCGAGGATGGGTGAGTTTGTCTTTCTTTTGCTTTCGCTTTGCGGGTTTTCTATTTTTCTTCTTCTCTTCTCTCTTTTTTTTTTGGAGGGGGGGGTTTCATTCCACATTCCCCATCTACGGCTGTCCGACCCCCTCCCCTGCTCTTCCGATTTCTTTCTCTCTCTCTTTTCTACCTACCACCACCCCAATAAATAAAAAACGTCGACATCGTATCTTCCCTCCCTTTCTTTCCTGTCTTTTCCTTTCCCCCTCCCTCCCTCTTTTTCGCCTCCCCCATCCTGCTCCCCTCCCTCCTCTTTACGCCTATTATTATTTTCGGGCTATTTTTTGCGCTCCACTCCCCACTTCTTGTATTAGCTTTTTCGCGTCCTTCCTGCCCGCTTTCTGGGAGGGGGAGGAGGAGGACTCCTGCGCGCGCCCTCTCGGCCGCATCTATTTGTTGCTACACTTCCGTTCCCTCCCATCCTCCCATTCTCTTGCGCCTTTTTCTTTCGTTTCATGCTATATTATTTTTTACGCTCCCCGCCCTCCTTTCCCTATTATTTCTTTCGTATGGCCCACTCGCCTTTTCCTGCTCGGCCGTCATCTTCGTTTCGCTTCTTCCTCCAGGGAAGTGGCGGAGGAGGGAGACGGTCTGCCGCCCTCATCTTTCGCCCTTCATCTATCTTCTCGCATCCTTTCCTTTCTTCCTATTCTCTTCTCTTTCTTTCGCCTCTTTTCGCCTATGTTTGCGTGCTATTTTTTGCTCTCCACTCCCCACTTCTTATATTACCTTTTTCGCGTCCTTCCTTCATTCCTGCCCGCTTTCTGGGCGTCCATTTCATCGACCCCTCCCGGCCTCATCTATTTTTGTACCCCTCCCTCTGCTCTTTTCCACTTCCGTTCCCTCCTTCCTCCCATCCTCTTCCGCTTTTGTCTCTCTCTCTCTTTCTCTTTTCTTACCTTCACCGCTCCACCATCCCCAATCCAATCCAATACTAACCACCCTCCCCTTAGGCGCATCATCCACCACCATCGCCGCTCCCACCGCACGCACCGGCGTCGGCAGCCTCCCCATCTACGCGCCCCTGCGGCGCTCCCCGCCCTCGCCCGGTGCCAATAACGCGTTCTCGCCTGGTGGCGCTAACGCGTTTTCTCCCTCCAACGCGTTCTCGCCCGGCGGGGCCAACGCGTTTTCGCCTGGAGGCGCCAACAACGCGTTCTCGCCGCGCCACGCGAACGAGTACGCTGCGGCGCGCAGCCCGGAGACGGCGTGGGGGCAGGGGCAGGGGCAGAGGGAGGGGTGGGGCGAGGGTGGTGGCGGTGGTGGTGGTGGTGGGAACAGTTACTTCGGCGCAGGAGGAGGAGAAGCGGGCGCGGGCGCGGGGCTAAGGCTCGATACGGGCGGTGGGGGGAGGGGGTACGAGGGGGGTGCGGGTGCGGGTGGCGGACAAGGACAAGGACAGGGACAGGGACACGGAGGAGGTGGTGGAGGAAGTGGGGGAGGGGGCGGGGTGCGCCCGCTGCTCGCGCCGCAGGGGCATTATGGGGCGATTCAGCGCGGGCCGGGGGTGGGGGTGCAGCAATCGCAGCAGCAGCAGGTTGCGAGTCCGGGGGGGATGCGCGGTGCGCAAGGAGGGGGACATCATGGACAGGGCGGACAAGGGGGACCCCCGCACGCGCCGCACGAGGCGGAGCTGGGGAAGGGCCTGCCGCTGCACGCGGTGCCGCCGAGCTGGCCGCTATATATTGTCGAGTTCAAGGCGGGGCGGACGGATCTGTTTTATGTGCGCGGTGGGGGGAAGGAGAATGGTGCGTTTTTGTTTTTGTTTTGTTTGGGGGCGTTTTTTGCCACCTGAGACCGTTGATGCTGCGGTTGCTTGCGCACGACGTTTCGACGTTTTTTGCGGCTGCTTATTTTTTGGCTTTTCAGCTTTTTCATCCGCGTGCTGACGATTCGAGTCTTTCTTTGACAGGCAACGGGTATACCAACGGCGCAGGCTCTTCCTCCACCGCTTCCGGCAACAACGCCAACGCCGGTAACAACGCCAACACCGGTAACGGCAATACTGGTAATGGCGGTAACAGCGACGATGACCCCGCGCGCATCCGAGTGGGTGACCTTGTTATCGTGGAGGCGGACCGGGGGCGCGATCTGGGAAGGGTGGTGAACGATAGCATTACGATTGGGGAGGTGGAGGCGTTTTGGGCGGGGGAGAGGGGTAAGTTGTTTTCCCTCTTTTCTTTGTTTTT